GCGCTCGTGGAATAATTGTTAATTATTAAAAACTGGATCATTGGATAATGCAATTCAAGACTTTTTATTGGCTTAGCCATTATGGTATATCAGCCAATATACCATAATCTAATATCTGTACATCGTAACATCCGGTCTCTTCTCACGAAATTAAGTCGAGAAGATTTGTCTAATATCTTGGGGGCGTTTTTTTTTTTAATAAAACAATTATTCCACTCGCGCTTGTTGGATATGAGATGATTATAGTCAACTCGGCGCTACGCGCCTCGTTGGCTATCTATCATCTCATATCCAAAGCGCCCTCGTGGAATAATTGTTAAATAAAGTATGAATAAAATGGATCATCTGAGTTTAGGGAAAACAAGGGTCTCCACCTTAAATGTTACATGTACGTTCGACCTTGTTATTCAGTTTAGTCCTTGATGAATATTTTATCCTCTGCTGGAGGATTTGATGGCAAGATTCTTGCTTTTCTGTTTCAGATTAGAGAACCTAATCTCATGAAAGACGCAGGATAAGAAGAAAAGAAACTTCCTTCACAAATTAAAAATTCGTAAATGATGAGACAGCCCTCATTTGGGCCAATTAAGACAAAAGAACTCTACATTTTCCGGCACTATATCGATGAAAAAACAATGTCATGAAATTGCGGCAACTGTTTGTATGTGTAAATATGTTGAGATAAAGGAATCCCTGTCGGAAAGCTATAGGTAGATGGTTAAAGTTCTATATAATTTCGCAAAAAGGATCGATTTTAAGGAGAACCGTCCACTAGAACCTGTGATGCTCAATTTTTTCTTGATATACTCACTCACAAATCGATTCAAACATCTTAGAAATTTGTTTAAGTATAGTGATTTCACAGTAACTTATGAGACTCCGTTTTCTTAGGCAAAAAGTGATTGACAGCGAAGTGGTACATGATGTATTAGTTTTAATTTCGGGAAAAAACCGAAGAACTATTAATAATAATAATAATAATAATAATGATAATAATAACGGTTTATTCACAGTATATCCACATAAAAGGTGTGGCTCTTCATCTGTGAAGGCCTACGATACAAATATTTAATATTAAAACTAAATTATAATTAACTAAATTGTAATAAAACTATACATGAATATAAATATGTAGAATGTAGTGGTTGGTGGTTGGTTGTTTCTATGTCTTTACAAGGAAGACAAGGCGCGCGCCTTTGAGAACGCCTTGCAGAGCCTGCAGTATTCTTTAAAATCTGTGCAATTTCTTATATTTGCTTGCAATTCATTAAAAATCATGGCTGCTGAATGCTGAAAGGTGCCTTGTACAAATGGAACATAAAGCCTTGGAGCAACACTGGAACGGAGATACCTAACGGGTTTAACGACTTGCAGATTTAAATGGGAGGGCCAGTTATCAGGATACAGTGCTTTAAAAATAGTTTTTAGTAGCGAGTAGTCCCTTAGCTCCAGGATAGGTAGCCAGCCAAGATCCAAAATGGTAGATATACTGTTTACATATTTACAAGTGACGAAACTAACCATAGCGAACTGGAGCCTTTGTAGTCTAGCTGAGAGGAACTTTGCTACCAAATGTTTCCGCAGTTAAAAATTACTAAAGTTCCTTATTTTTCTTAAGGTTCTCAGAGTCGCATAACAAGATTTAAGAATAGAACTGATATGAAATTCCCATTTAAGATTGGAGTCAATGTGTACACCCAGGAGTTTTGTAACATTTATACGTTGCAGTGGTGTACCAGAGATTTCTAATCCCAACTCCAGATTTCCGAGAGAATGCACATGAACCATGTGTGGGGCCAGTTGAGATAAGAATGGCCTTGGTTTTCTTAGAATTTAGGGCCATGTTTGAATCATTTGACCAGGCGCAGAGGCCTGTCAGGGTTGCATTCATGCTTTCCGCTTGAGATGTGATCTGCGGCGTAGTACAGCTAGAGTATATTGTTGTATCGTCGGCATATTGGAAACTTTTGATTGGAGGTGAAAGAATATCTTGAAGAACCGCGACGTAGAGATTGAACAACATCCGTCCAAGGATTGGG